GATCTTGTGAACAGAAATGCTTTGTTCCAGGTCTTGGAGAAAGTTGGCTGTCCACCACGCCTACTAAAACTCATAACATCATTCCACTCAGACATGATGAGCACCATACAGGCCGATGGCATGACATCTGAACCATTCAAGGTTATCAGTGGTGTCAAGCAGGGCTGCGTTCTAGCGCCCACACTTTTTGGAATCTACTTCTCGGTGTTACTGAAGCAGGCCCTGACAGACATCCCATGCCTGACGATTAACACCCGTTTTGACAACAACCTCTACGCTGCAGGCCGACTGAAAGCAAAGACCAAGATCTCCCACGTCGAGCTGTGCGAATTGCTTTATGCCGATGATGCAGCCTTCTGTGCCCAGTCGGGCGCTGACCTGCAAGCTATTATGGACAAATTTGCTCAGGCCTGTTCTGATTTTGGCTTTAAAATCAGCATCAAGAAGACAGAAATAGTGAGCACCATAGACATACCAAATAACATCACTGTACACGCTCAAGATTTGAAAAACGTATCTGACTTTGTCTACCTGGGATCTAACATCTCAGCAAACTGCTCCCTGGATCATGAAATCAATCGCCGCCTGGGGAAAGCAAGTACAACCTTTGGTAGGCTCTCTAAACGTGTGTTTGACAACAAGAACCTCACTATCAAGACTAAAGTGAGAGTTTATGAGGCCTGTGTTTTGAGTATTCTTCTTTATGGCGCAGAGTCATGGACCACTTATCGTCGTCAGGAGTTAAAACTCAACAGCTTCCACATGCGGTGCCTTCGCAACATACTTGGCCTACGATGGCAAGATAAAGTTCGATATGCTGTGATTCTGGATCGCTGTCATGCAAAGCCTCTGACAAGCATCTTAAAACACAGACGCCTCCGTTGGCTTGGCCATGTTTACAGGATGACTGACCAGCGTCTGCCAAAAGTAGCTCTATACGGAGAGTTGAGTGAAGGCTCGCGGAAACGTGGTCGTCCTCTCCTTCGTTGGAAAGACGTAGCCAAAAGGGACCTGATCAATTTTGACATCAACCATAAGAACTTTGAAAACAACTGCCAAGACCGACCGCTCTGGCGGAAAATGATCTACAGCGGTCTTGACCGTGATCACAAATCATATCTCGCTCATCTTGAGCAGAAATCTCTTAAACGATCAGAGAAGAGAAAGCTAAAATGAATTGTCTGAGTCATAGTTCCCTATGAGAACTGAAGACGGCCATATACAAATATGAAACTGCTTTGAAGTCCTATATACAAGTACAAGGGCTCCATATATATATATATATCTTGTATCTATAACATCACGAATCTGTAATTTTATACTTTARCGTCAATTGCAAACTTGTACTTAATGTAAACCTTTAGATTTTAACGGTCATGTAATTGGTTTCACCTGATGAGTGTGGTCCTCTGGACCATACGAAACAATATTGTAGTGAAAATTACATCATGGAAATGCAGTAGTTTGTTCTGTAATTTTCTATTTTATTTTATATATATGATATACATATTTTACCCCTACAAAGGAACACACGAGAAGCTTGTATTGAGATTATTATTCTTGCTTTAATCTTCATAATATCAACATCAGTCAACTCAACTAGTCAGTACCTAATACATAATTACCAAAATATCATGACAAACTTTATCAAGAGAGTACTTTGATAGTACAATGTTTGTTTACAGTTGCACTATTTCATACTGGTCGACATGGTAAACTTAAGCATTTTAAACCATCTCTTACCCTTGGATATGCTAATTCTGGCAAAACATTTAAATTATAGAATGCCTCAAGACGACTAAATGCTGCATTCCACCATGCAGGATTAAACTCAACCCTTTTACACAACTGTTCACCATTGCTTCCTCTTATAACAAAATCACACCATGGTCTGTTTACTACATAGAGTTGCTGCTGAATTTGATAATGATATTTGTGAGAAATTACCACATCTCCTTCTTTGTTAAAGATTGACCTTTTTTGTAAAGCACTGATTAAACCTTCATTATCATTTACTTGTATATTCTTTACTTCAACAATCCCATGTTGATTCTCAACAGATGGATTAGTCACTAGACCATCAGGAGAAGCACCAATAAATCCATGATTCTTTGACACAAAAAATCCACACTTTTCAACAAGTCACTGTGAGCTTCACGTTTCATGCATTCTTCATAAGCAGATAAGGCTAAGTCCTCCTTTTCAATGCCTTCTTTCATAGCCTTTGTCTGTAAAACATTATTGTAATTTAAAATGTCTCTTACAATCTTTGTAGGTGATGTGGTGGCTCTGTGAGGGCATGCTATCCTGTGACATTTTGATGCTGTCACTCTTCCAAATCTACTTTCAAACCACTTAGAATTATCTGACTGTCCCCTTGTTTCTTTCTCTATGTTATGTACTTCATTTTCATCAAGAGAGAGCTTGCGTTTTATCCTGCCACATCGTTCCTTTATTTCATGCAGGCTTACTGGATGGTGTTTCGGTGGTGAAATAATTG